ACAATTTTCAGTAATTGGACGTGGGCTTGTTTGGGGTCTCGTTTCTCTCTGTCTCTCTGTCTCTCTGTCTCTGTCTCTCTGTCTCTGTCTCTCTCTCTCTCTCTCTCTCTCTCTCTCTCTCTCTCTCTCTCTCTCTGCAGAACCAGGGATGAACTCAGGCCCTTGAGCTTGCCAGGCTTATTCTACTGAGCTAACTCCCTGGCCCTGGGTCTCGTTTCTCAACCTAGCAACTATAAGTCCAATGAAAGTCAAAGAGACATTTCTAGGGTTCCAGAAAAACAAAAGAAAACACAGCCAAATACATGTCTACTCTGTGCTTTTTTGGAGGTGGCTACATCCGCAGCCCTAAGCGTTCCTGACAGTAATCGCAAGCCATCGCCATGGAGACTGACTCCATGGAGACAGGCTACCAAGTCAGGGTCACTAAGTTGCTTCCGCGAGGAAGGAGACACAGGAGAGAAGGCCCTTCTCAAGGTCGCCCCAGCTAGCTAAGCGGCTGAACTGGGAGGCAAGTCCTAGCACATAGAAGCCAAAGCGCTGGTCCTGGGAGGGCCCTTCAGGGTGGGCGAGACAGGTCTGGGCCAACGTGGCGCTCTCATAAGGGGGCTGCTGTCACGAGGCAGCAGTCATCCTCCCTTCCTGTCGATTTCTTATGTGTGGAAGTTAATCCCTCACAGAGAACACCAGGGCAGTTTCCGAGTCTCAGCAGCCTGAGCGAACTCCGGGCTCAGGGTTGTGCTAACTACACACTCGTGACTCTGGGCAGGTGTCCTGACCTCTGTGGCCCTTGGTGTCTTTCTTAGGGTGACACCCACATTGCAGGTCTGTGGTAAGCAGGAACTTGGGGTGAATGAAAAGGGCCTAGAAGAGGGTGGAGTCTGTAAGAGAAACCCAAGCAAGGCCCGCTATTCTGGGGTGACGGTGTATCCTCAGACACGGGCTGGAAGGCCACCACACCGGGAAACTTCTAAGCCCTTGATGTCACAAACTTGGCAACGGGACCCCCACAGGTTTGTCCTTTGCTTAGCCTGAAACCGTTGTTGAGCACAGCCTGAGGCCTGGACCAGGAACATGGTCCCAGTGACTAGAGGGTGAGGCAGGGAAGGAGAAAAACCAGCCCAGGGGCGCAGGGGACACCATAGCTGGGGACTGAGTGGATCCCATGAAGATCTTCGGGGGTCCAGGAGGCCTCGCAGAAGCATTTGTTGGAGGATGGGGAGGTAGACACGTTCATGAACCGACGTCCTCCTGTTGAGGGTGACTCTGCTGAAGGCCTAGTCTTCTAGCCATCACATCGGGGTAATGCAGGCGACAGAAACTCCGTGTTCTGGGCATGGTGCTGACTGCAGGGAGCTGTTCCCCTCAGCCACGGTGGCGCAGAGGTGGCCTAGAAGACCCGAGGTGGTCCCCAGAGGCCTGTGCCCCTCCACCCCCACTCACCTGGAGCTTCGCTGTCTTACGCCTGCCACGACACTGAATCTGCCACCATGCATCCCATCTCCCCCAAAAGCTCACTCCTGGGGGTGCATGGAAGAGGTTAAGTGACCTCCTGTCCCATCGTCCATCTCTTCACCCTCATGCCTGACCCAAATCTTCGACCCCATGTGTCTGAGCACCTCCCTACCTGCCCTTGCCAGGTCATGGTGGCTGCATTTGCCATTTCCTATTGTGACTAGAAATGACAGCGAATCCCTGGATAGAAGCTCCTCCTCTCCTACCCCTCTGTGGCTGCTCATGGGTCCCTCTGGCACCAGCCTGGCCACCTGGCTGAGGGCCACCCAACTGGTGGTCTTATCCGCTGGCCGTTAGGTGCCTCTTTCCCATGGCGCTCTTAAGTGAGCAGTGCCAAAGGACAGGCAGGTCCCCATGCTTCCCTGTCACCCCTGGGCTCCCCACATCCCCTGGGCCCTCATCTGCTCCTGCCCCTCCCCGCTGTCCCTCCATCCACCCTGAGCCACTGCTGCCACTCAGGTGTGAGTGCTGTTCCCACACTGCAGTAGTGCACCTCAGGAAAAATCCCCCCGCCCCCCACCCACTGGGCTCAGTCACGGTCTGCTTCTGGAGCTCCCCAGAACGCCAGAGCAACCAAACAAGTCACAGGTGTGAGGCCCTGGACAAACAGGCAGGTGACCGAGGAGACTGCCACCACCCTCCTTTCCGCCCAGTGGACCTGCTGGGCCTGGTGCTCCGCGTCCCGCTTCCTCTACACAGTGGGTGGTTGGGTGGTCGGCTTCTCCCCTAATGTCTTACTAAGCAGAACAAACAATCCTTCACGTCCGGTGGGCATCTCTGGCCACAGAGTCACTTGACGTCCTGGGCTTGGGAACAAGGTCTTGCTGAAGGCCCAGTGGCACACCAGGAACTGCACTTCAAATGTAAGTTTTTCTTGGCAGCACTGCGGAACCTCTGACTCGATTTATTGTGCATTCCTCCTGAGACCCAGGAGCCACCAGGTCAGGTGGCATGAGTGGCAGGGCAGCCTGGCAGGGCCTGGGTGTAATTTACACTCAAAGCGTGCAGCCTCCCCTCCAGGCGTGGGCGTGCATGCCCGTGAGACCACCACTGTGCAGGACTTCGAATTTGATTCAACCGTGAGCCATTTCGCAGTACAGGGAGACCCTGTCTCAAAATTTAGAAGTTAAAGAGCTTGGGAATGTAGCTCACTGCAAAGTCCTTAGTCACACACACACACACACACACACACAACACTGTAATGAGTTACAGAGTTGTAGCTACACCGGGGCTGGGGATAGCTTTGTGTTCTTTTCACTTGACTTCAAATTGCTTTAGATCTTTTCTTCTAATAAGAATTTAAGACAGCGCGTCTGCCAAGCTGAGAGCCCTGCACCCTGAGTAGGTGGAGCCGGCAGAGCGGTGGTTGGACTCAGGGAACCTCCTGTCACCCACTGTGGAGCCTCCGCGTCTCCAGGGGCCACACTGGGGAGCTAAGAAGTCGAGGAGATCCTAAATCCACCGAGGTAGCCCTGGTCTCTGGAGTTCTCCCCAGAATCCATGGCTGCTGACTTGCCATCTTGACTAGGGACAGGCGACAGTTTTCAGAGTTTGGTTGTCCTATAGAAATGACCTACAGGGGCTGGTGAGATGGCTCAGTGGTCTAAAGCACCTACTTAGAACAAGC